GAAAGTAGGCCAGGAAGGTGAAGAGAAGAGGGAGGTTGGTGAGGGAAAGTGAAGCCGGCAGCCATAGCCGACTAGAAGAGTTGACTGGCCTTGACCGGGAGTTGACCGGGGTTGACCGAGCATTGACCGAGCGTCGACTAAGGCGTTGACCAACACTTTGACCAAGCTGGAGCCGGTAAAATCTCGCCAAGCCTTCAGCCTATCCCTCACCCTATGGATGTGCACACACCCTGTGGTACTTGCTGAGTCCAGTCTGTCTGTCTCTTCTTTCTACATCGAGTCTCTTCTGTCTAGGTGATAGTACTCTGTGGATGAAGGATAGGCCTTGTTGACCAGACCCTGTCGGACCAAGTAGGGCTAAAGACTGTAACTGACGAGTCGACTGTCCCGGAGGACACGAACCCTCCCAAGGACCGGTACAGACTGGCGGGCTGCTCGGTGTGGCACGGTAGGCCCGAAAAGCTGAGTTGTGGGCTGCGCAACAGGCAGTCTAAGTGTTGAGAGACCTACTGATCACGTCGTCCTGTCTGCGACGTTAAATAATTCATGAGTTACGGGGGTCTCCTTAAATGCCTCCTGATCAGCAACAGGTCTAGTAGTGATATCCATAGTTAGGTCTAGGCTAGAGACCCTAGTTGGCAGGATCCCTGTCCGGATTCTGTGAGTTCTTAGATTGAGTCAGCAGGTTTGTCAGTCAGGGGTTAGAGTCTGCGTGGTGAGGTTTGGAACCGTTAATCCGGTTGTGCACTTGACACCATGGTTGAGACCTGCACAAGGAAGAGCACTAGCCCGTACACCCAGGAGCAACAAGAGAAGATGACTGCCTTAGTAAGAGAATAAGGAGAAGAAAGAGATCCTGAAACAGGCGAAGCTAAAGGCAATCGCAGAGGAGCAGGCAGCGAAGATGAAGGAATTGGAGGAGGAGATGGAGAAAAATAAGAAGGTTGCTGAAGAAGAAGCGGTAGCAGAAGCAGAAGAGGAAAGGAAACACAGGGAAGTAAAAGGAGCGAGTAGTGGCACGACAAATGAGGACGCCGCAATGGAGAAGAAAATGAGTGAGTGGATTGCTAATTTATCGTTGACGGAAGATGAGGAGGAAGTGCTTTATGTGCCCCAGGATGAGAGGGATGCGTTAGTCAGTGAGCTAGCAGCAATGGAGGACCCTCTGGAACGGCGAGAAAGAGAAGAAGAGAAGAAGTTGGAGTGGAAACTGAGGATGGAGACGGAAAAGAAGAGAAGGAGGGATGAAGTTCATAGGCTGACCGAGGAGGAGGCAAAAATGAGAGATTGTAGACAAGAGGTGCAGGCGCAGCCAGACATTTATGCCAAGATGGATAAGGTGTTCGGTTATCTAGAAGTGTTAAGTGCGGCCTGGATGGAGGAGCGCCAAGCCAATAGGGGTCAGGATGTGGCCCTGCGCGCCATGCGGTCAGGATTTAGAGATTTTGCGCGCGATATGGTCACCCATGTTGGAGGCGAAGTTAGGCGACTGAGAGACAGCATGGGGAAGTTCTTCGAGGGCGCCAGCGAAGGTGCCAAGGCAATAGTCGCTGTAGAGGGTAAGGCCAGGCCTCGTAAGGAGCCTTTTAAGCTTAAATTCCCAGGTGCGTATAGAGGGAAGAAGGAAGAAAATTTTGATAACTGGGAGGCTACTGTGAACAGTTACGTATTATTACAGCACATCCTGACTGAGGAGCAAGTCCTCGTCGCCTTCCAGGACCCTTAAGGATGAAGCGGCCAGTTTTGCCAGATCTCTTGCGCACGCAGTCAGTTGTGAAAACAACATGGTTGCATATTCTAAGATCACCACCCTTCCTCAATTCTTCAAAGTCCTGAGGGAGAGATTTGTTGACCCAACGAGAGGCGTTAGAGCCTCTGATAAGTTACAGACGATCCATTCGCGACAGTGGAGGAGTGCAAGAGCACTTAAGGGCGTTATGGACGACTTGGTAGCCGTCCCAGACCACGGGGTCACTGAGCCCCAGTTGGTCCAACTGTTTTATCGTGCCATGCCCGAGCCCCTGCGTGGACATTTCTTTGAGAAGTCTCAACATGCAATCAGACTCGTTCTCAAACACACTTTTTATGCACGTAAACAGCAACGCAGCATACTGGCGACATGCGCCCACTCAAAACTCGGAGGTATGGCTTTCAGATACGAGTTCACTCTCAATTAGCTATGGCGACTTCAGCGCCCAAACATCTCACTGTTCACATACACTGGATCACCCTGGATATCCCACACGCATCACTCTAACACTCGAACACACACACACACTCACTACTAACTGCAGGTATGGCAGTTGTCGCTGCATCTACCCTATCGCTATGCTCACTCCCTCTCTCTTGCCCACTACGTCCTCCGGGCTCATCTGCAGACCTCCTTGCACAAGTCGCTGTGGCAGCGCTTCCGCATGGCTCACGTAGGAATGAATGAATGGCTGGGCACTGCCTCTTGATTTATACTTCACAAACTCGTTGGTCTGCCCTTTGCCATCGGCCCTTGGTGCTCACAGTCCCCCTATGGTACTTGCTGGACCGGACTGGGACTGACTGGACCTCCCGCTGACTGACTGTGGACTCACCGCTATCCTACCGACGTTGTACTATTGTTGCACTGCGGTTTAGTCCACCACTTGCCTCTCCACTTGACCACTTGCCCACTTGCCTACCTTCTAGAAGGTCTACAGCTAAGCTTCCGGAACTCACTAAGACTCCTACGCTATAGACCTACAGATCGAACCCCTGCTGCCTATGGACCTACAACAGGCCTACCAACTGCCTACGAATACACAGGTCACAGGTTCAATTCTCGGGGTCTACACAGATACTGTACATGGGTAGGGTGAGGTCTAGGGATCGAACCCTGGGTACTGCATCCGCCACTGCTAAAAGGTAAGAACCGTTTCACTTCCGCCGTCCTAATTTCAAGGTCCTCCGCGAAAATTTCAGTCCAAGGCGGGACCTTTACTTTCCTTGTCACGCTCATAGGCTCTGACTATGTCGGGAGCAGTCTCTAGAAGTTCTGCTTTCGTGAACCAGCGGTCGTCTTCCGGTTCCTGATAGGCAAACCGGACTTTATACTGCTTTTGGGGACGACCTCTACCTCCTGTCCTAAACACATCCTCTTCTACAATGCCCTCTATGTCATAACTCCCATCCATATCCGGTGGGATCATGGATCTCCTGGAAGGGAACTGTTGACTAGTGACACACGGCAGCAGCTTTGAAGCATGAAACACAGGGTATGTGTGGAGGTGTGCTGGAATCTCAATGTTGTAGGACGGTCCATCCTCTCCGCCCTTGACTTCTAGAACCGGCCACGGTCCTCTATATGCAGGCAGTAACTTCTGCGAGATGTTTTCTTCCGGTGCAAACTCTTTTGCCTTGACCCAGACTAAGTCGCCTACTTAAAACTGTGATGGGCGACGATGCTTGTTAGCCTGCTCTATCATTCTGTGCTGGGCCTTCCGAAGGTTCTCAACAACAGTGGCTAATTCCTTTTTGTGATGTATCGCAAACTCCCTGGTACCGGGTGGTAATCTGTGAATCTGATCCCGGTTCAGTCCTTCGAACGGTCTGCGAGGTCTAAAGGACTTGTGCAACTCATTGGGAGTGCGGCAGGTGGATAGATGCACGCTGTTGTTGTATGCACTAGCTACCTTAGGCAACATCTCATCCCAGTTAATCTGATCTGGTCTAATGTACATGCGCAGAACTTGCTGTAGGATCTTGTTCATCTATTCTGTCTGACCGTTAGTCTCTGGGTGACGGTCGGACGACATTAACAACTTAGATCCGTAGACTCTCATGAGTTCTTGCCAGTTCTGGCTGGTGAAACGACTGTCTCTATCACTAACTATTGATACTGGGATTCCATTTTCACTAACCCAAAAGTCAAAAAACTTCTGTATAACTAAGTCCGTACGTGCCTCTGCAGGCAAAGGGACGAAAACTGCATATTTACTAAAATGGTCCACTACGACCATGACTTGGCTCTTACCATTTCTACTCTTGACTTGGGTGTCCATGAAGTCTATGGACACGGAGTCTCCCGGCTGATCCGGAATAGGCAAGGGTCTGAGAAGACCTAGGGGCGCGTGTGTAGTAGACTTATTCCTCTGGCAAACTTTACAACTGCGGACATACTCTATGCAGTCATTCTTTATCCCTGGCTAGGTATACGCATGCATCAGGTTGGCTAATGTCTTTTGCCAACCGAAATGCCCTTCCGTATTGTGGCATTCCCCTAAAATCAAACTACGGATCTCTTCGTTGTTGGGAACGCACAGGCGGTCAAACACATTAGTCTTCTCAAACAATAACCCGTCTGTAGTGCGGTAATCTGGTTCAGTCTCTGGGGCCTCTCTAACTCTCTTTAGGAGGTCGCTATAGATAGGGTCATGCCCATATGCTTGCCTCACTTTCTCCTGCAGGTCTCTCCCTATATCTCGATAGTGTACTACAACTCCAAAGTAGTCTGATCTCCTACTCAGAGCATCCGCAACTACGTTGTACTTGCCCTTCACTGGCTTGAGCTCAAAGTCGAATTGGTCTATCTCTACGACCCATTTAGTCAACTTAGGTGTCATCTTGGCCTGAGTCTTTAACCATCTAAGCGTTTCGTGGTCCGAATACACTTTGAAGTGTCTCCCAAGCAGGTAGTGCTTCCAATGATCTAAAGCCTGCCTGAGAGCGTAGAGTTCTCTCTCGTACGTGGAGGCAGCAACCTTCTCACAGGGCATCCTCGCTGACATGAACTCTACGGGTCTATAGGCATTGTCGTTGTCTTGCTGCAACACGACGCCTATCCCATACTGACTCGCATCCGTGGTGACGACAAATGGCAAAGACGGATCTGCAACTTTGAGGACAGGATACTCTATTAACGCGCGCTTTAGCTTCTTGAGCGCAGACGTACAGTCTTTGTCCCATTGCCAGATTGCCTCTTTCTTCAGCAATCGGCGCAAGGGAGCGGCGATAGTGGAGAAGTTCCTCACGAACTTCCTACAGTAGTTAGCTAAGCCTAGGAACGATCGCAACTCTGTCAATGTGCAGGGCGTCCGCCAATCTCTAATCGTCGCGATCTTGCTGTCCTCTGGCTTGATGCCATCTCCGTCTAATACGTGGCCCAAGTACAAAACTTGCGTCTTGGCCCACTC